TGCATTGCAACTGAAAATTTTTAAATAAAAATGATTTTGAACAGTCACCTTCACTCAATGATAAACATATGCCTCACTAACTTGAAGTGACTTCTCACATTTTGTATTCTTTTAAAAATCAAGTGGCTCTAAAAGTCTATTTTAGTGGACAGTTTCCCTCTTGATTACATTTTTATATTTACATTTTCAAGTACAGCATTAAAAAGTGTTTATAAAGAGACTATTCTCAAATTTTCTATTTTTCAAAGATAATCAAAAGTCTCTTAAGTTTCTATTTCAATTACTCCCATTTCTTGATAGTATATAGACAAGCGCTATTTAATGCAATGCAACTCAACCATTAGGTGACATAAAAAAGAAAGGCCCATGAAGAGAGAAAGATCTGAAGAAAGAGGAAAGAGAAGCTGCCAGTGTCAAGTCATCTATCCAGCTAAGCTTTCTCTAAGTGCCTTCTAAACTAACTGTCCATTAATAAAATGATTTATAAACTGCACATATTAGGAACATGTATGTATTGCTTATTATTATCTATCCCTACTAAAATTTCATTGCTTATTACTATTCCTAATGTTATAATTTCATTACTCTTACACTCAAAAAGATTTGGCTGTGGAATATAATTGTAAATATCTGATCCAACAGGGGCAGGAGGGAATAGCTAGCTCTCTTCAGTGTACTCAAGGTGTGACTGAGTTTCCAACTGTGAATTCTCTTGAAAACATTCACTGTAACTCTCATTTCTTCTTTCTCTTAGTAGTAAATGTTACTCACTGGCTCACTTAATCCCTGCAATCTAGATTAAAAAGGCTGCCTATGACGGGTTTTCCAATCTTGTGGTCATAAATATAATACTTTTAAAAAGTACAGATTCTCCATTTACATTTTGTACAATTCCAATCCAATAGGTCTTAGCTAAACATATAGCCATATTTTGAAGCCCATAATTTAGACTCTTTATGGAGAAGATAACATATTAAACAAACTAAAAAAGAAAATACACAAACTTGAAGATTAACCTTGCCTCACACCACCCATCCCCAATAAGCAAATAGTTTTTTAATCAGATATGTACACAATGCCTTTGCATTAGAATTTTCCATAATTAATGATTTTTCTTAAGAATAGTATTTTAAAAGTAGCATATCAAACTTACATATTAACACTTGTTTTCATACCTAAAATATTCACATATAAATGACTTGGGAACTAAAATTAAATTTCCAACCACATACAAGAAAAATAACATTTACAGAATTTCTAAAGCACATCAATTTCCTTTATTTTTAAAAACAAAATAGATAGGGTACACTGCATCCATAAATGTTATTAAAAGGATACACTGTAAACAAAACTTCCGGATGTGTGACTGGATAAAATCGAAATGTTCATCTCTGTAGTCATGTTCTTTCTCCAATACACTAATGGCATCACACTGTTGAGTTAAAATTATTTAATCAAAATTAAATGTAATAATTTAAACAGTTCAATTCTGGATGAGGAACATCA